AGCAACGGCTAGTTTGGTGCGCACTGCTATTTATTTTGTGTTTGTTGTACAGGACGCAGTGAGGGGATTAAAGAACCAATTGCTCTGGAACTAAAAAGCAATCGATCGGGTTTGGGTCATGATACGGAAGAGGATGAAAGGAGAAAGAAGCGTATGCGTATCTATCAAGCTGCTGTATCGGCACGTGCCAAAGCTCATGTTAGTTCGGCTTTTTCTCACTTTATTTGCTCCTTCACTGATATCTCTTTCTTTCGCTTATCCGTCTTGCAAGTTAGTTACATGACTATTCAAAAAATGGCGCGTAGGAGGAGGCTGTACTGATGATTCCCGCTCTCTGCATTGTTCGGTCTGTGTTTACAGCTAAGGGATGAAATACAGGCTGCATCATAAAATGTCTTCATACACATGACATTCAATTGAAATCCTTCAATTCTTCTGTTTGTAACCTTAAAATTACACAATTTAATTATTATTTGGCAAAAGTCCAGCAGTTCGAATTCTGCTGCTTGTAAACTGCAAGTAACTGAAAGATTTCAAATTCAGTCCTCAGGTGCGCCTGGTCCCCGCGTACGGCCCGGTGAAAGTTTTTTTGGAGAAAAATTGCTTGTTTGGGAGCTTTGTAATAATACCACAAATATTGAACTTTATACCGAGGCCGCCAATGTTGAACTCCTCCGATGTTATTTTGCTTTCCATAGGACAAAATTCCATGTTAGATTTTTTGCATAATGCTTAACATGAAATTTGTAGTGCTGAAAGAAATTAATTTTGATTTGAGAGAATCTTAAGTGGTTTGTGCCATTTTTACTTGAAAAATTTCATACTTAAAAAATTCCAGGAAGCACTTATTGATGATTTTTCGGAAAGAAAACGCTGGGCTGTACATTTGAAGCAATTATCAACGGATTTGCAAAAGAGTCGTAAAGTTTGCCAAGAACTGGACGCAAGGTTAACTTCTTTTTTCACAAAAAATACTTGAATCGGTTGAAATTGAGATTGTCTGGTTATCCAGCTGTGCAATTGGGGAACGTTTCCAGTTGTTTTGACTAGTTTTGCATTATCTTTTGGTCAGCTTTTTGGCAGTTCTGACATTTGTCTTGCCTTTCTTTGTGTATATCAGTTTAGTGGCTTTCCCAACAAAAGCAATTTGCACAGTATTAGTTTTTGTGTGTTTTGTGCTGTTTAACAGCGTCACAAAACCCATACTTTCACGGGGTTGTCTGTATGCGTGTGTGTCCCACATTTTGTCCCACACTTTCAACTCGGGAACCACAAAAGCTAGGCGGCTGAAATTTTGCTATAGTGTTCCCCGCTAGCGGATGACACGGCAAATTTAAATTCAGCCTTCCCGTACTCACGGGTAACACGTACGGCCCCGTGAAAGTTTTTTACGGGTAAATTATCTCGGGAATCACGGAGTCTAGGAAGCTGAAATTTTAGGGGAATGACCCTTTGCCCACGCTCAATCTTGCCGATTCAAATTCAGCGTTCCCGCGCTCTTGACTATCACCTACGCCCTTGTAAAAATTTTGGTAGGTAAGCTATTAACTCGGGTATCGCGGAAAGATATTCACCCTTCAAGGTTTCGAATTCAGCTTTCATGCGCTGATGCATAAAATTTTTGACTATTTTCCAATGTTTGAACTATTTTTGCATAGACTAAAGTACAAAGCAGTGAAAATTATTAATAGGCAGTCTGGTTTTCAATGTTTGAACTATTTTTGCATAGACTAAAGTACAAAGCAGTGAAAATCATTAACAGGCAAATATCGTTGATGGGCCAAATTGCACAAAACGCATGATCGCACTGGCTAGTCTGGTGTGCGGTGCTATTTATTTCGATAGGTCCTTGGTGTGTGTTGAGCATCACTTTCGCTTGCCGAAGGTTGATTTTCCGAGATCACGATGAGTTTAACTTACTGACTAGGAGTTTCACGTGGAAATGGCATCAGATTTTTCGGCAAAATATTGCTTGGTTGCTACTTTGATGCATTTATTTTACTATTTCATGTGTCTTCTCATTGTTTTTTCAGTCTAGTTTGCTTCTTTCTACGTGGTATAACCCTTTACCTAAACTTTATTTGCAAGTTTACTTAGTGTAATTCCCATTTAGCTTTTCGCCTTAACGTAATTTCATATAAATTTGTAAACGTTAAGATTTATAACAATTTTAGAAATGGCTTGGAACTACCTACATCATCTTATTTTTGGCCAATCTATGCTTCAAAACTTGAAGACACAGCACCAGCGAAGAGGGGAAGATTTGAAAAAATTGAAAATAATCAAATTTACACATATTTTAACGGGAAATCAGCACCGGATGATCTCGAAATGGATGAGCTTCCAGAATACGATATTGCTCGGCGGTATGTTTTTTTTTTCTTAG